GTTTTCGTTTCACAGATTGTTGCCTCAAGCATGCTACAAAGTCAATAGTGGCGCTGGATACTGCTTGGCCTTGGGCCAGTGACACTTACGGGCTTTGCTGTTTGCGCGCGTACTTTTGCGCGCAAAGAAACTTATAACGCGCGCAAGATCATACATTGTTTTTCACCAAATAGCGGTAGCTATGTGTCTCTCACTTCAAAAAAAGAATGGCTGTCCATGCTTTCGTGAGGGTGTCGGTGCTGGTGATGGTGTTGCGGCCCTGGGTGCCGGTGCTGGTCTCAGCTGCTCGCGTGCGCTTGGCAGGTGCCGTAAGCTCGCTGTGCAGGCTGCGTGTACATGGCACATTCTTGTGCCGCGTATTCGGGGGTTCTGCCTAGCTATGTGGGTCTATGCTGGTGCAATTTTGTACGCGTGAAGCTATATGCGCAACGTCAGGCTCTCAACTGACCATGGTTTCGGCGTGCAGAAACTCAATAGTGGTGCTGGATACTGCTTGGCCTTGAGCGAGTGAAGCCTACGGGCTTGGCTGTTTGTGCGCATACTTCTGGGCCCAAAAACTAAAACGCACAAGATCATACGGTGTTATCGTTTCACAGATCGTTGCCCCAAGCATGCTACAAAGTCAATAGTGGCGCTGGATACTGCTTGGCCTTGGGCCAGTGACACTTACGGGATTTGCTGTTTGCGCGCAGGCTTTTGCGCGGAGGCTTTTGCGCGCAAAGAAGCTTATACGCGCAAGATCATACGTTGTTTTTCCCCAAATAGCGGTAGCTAAGAGCTATATGGTACTTACTTTAAAAAAATGAGCTGGCTCTCCGCGCTTTCGGGAGGGTGTCGGTACTGATGCTAATATTGTGGTCCTGGGTGCCGGTGCTGGTCTCAGCTGGTCGCGCGCGCTTCGCAGTGGCAGTCTGCCTAAATGTCTGGGTCTATGCTGGTCCAATGTTTCCCCTCGGGCAAGCCAGGCAGATCTTGCACCGGTTCAAGTAGGAGTGTTCGGCCAGGTTCCGGGCTTGGAACTCTCTGATGCTTGGGCTTGCACTATAGGCCTAGTGTGGTTTTCCCCAAATAGCGACAGCTATGGGGTCCTTACTTCAAATAACAATGAGCTGGCTGTGCGCGCTTTCGAGACAGGGTGCCGGTGCTATCGGTGCCGGTGCCAAGGTGCTGGTGTTGGCTGTGGTGCTGGTGTTGGGGGCTGTGCGTGTGGTGGAGACAGGTGCCGTTGCTGGGTGCTGGCTGCGTGCGTGGTGGAGAGAGGGTGCCAGTGCCGGGTGGTGCTGCTGGCTGTGGTGCTGGTGCTGGGTGCTGTGAGCTGGCTGCGCGCGTGGTGGAGACAGGGTGTCGGTGGTGGGCGCCGGTGTCGTCATTTAGACATCGCCCAGCGCTTACCGGGGTCCTTCTCACTCAGGAACATGCCGGGCCGCTCACTTTCATCGTTCTAGACTGGGGTCGGTGGATTTTGTGTTTCATGGTGGCTTTAATCTTTCTGCCACATGATATTGCCGGTTCAATCGACTCCATTCGGAGGATCACAGTGATCAAATATTTTTTCCAGCGCAAACTATAGACTGAGGTGCTACCCACCTTGGAAATCCAGAACTTCATTGTCCGTACCGCCAGGTGGATCAGGGTGGCTTTCACACAACCCTTCAGCCGAGTCCCTGTGGTGGTGGTTGCCCCGACCAAGGGCCAAGGCCCGGCCGCGATCCGCGTGAAGGACATCACCGCCACCGGTTTCTCTGCCATCATCGCCAAGCCACCTAAGAGCGGCAAGGTGGAACCAGGCGGAGGGGAAGATCGGGTAAATACACCGTTGAAAATAACATCAACGGATTCAACGACATTCGACTTGGTTTTCGATTGAAAAACATGGAAAGGCTCATCACGATTGCTTGTTCTCACGATTGTTTGTTCTAGCCGGCATCGATCTCGCAATCTAACAATTCTTTGCCTCTTGCTTGGCACCAAAAAATTTGTAGGTTCCTTAGGCCACGGTTCTATTGACATCGCCACTTGACCCATCTTGAGGTCAATCAGATGAGAGCATGACTGTGAGTTTCCTGGCCGTTTTGCCGGGTGTTCATGAACTCAACGGTGTTTGGATGGAGGCCGGTCGTACCAACACGCAACGCTTGAAGTTTGGCAAAAATTGCAAACCTCCGGGTGACTCGGCGCAATTGGTTTGCGGTTGGAGGTTGGTTTGAGGTAGTTTTCAACAGATAGCACAAGGCTCGTGTGATGCGGCCGGTATTTGCATGGAACATGGAAAATTCTACAGAGTCGTGAGAGTGGCCATAAATCAGGTGGGAACAGCATGAAACCAATGGTTTGACCTATGGTTCGGTCGGTAAAGAAGGTTGGGTTGTGGGTTTGGCGCACGCATGCTCGCTTCAATCCCAATGCGCCCCGGAATGCTGATTCTCAGATGACCATCATAATGAACGATATTGTTTGATAGTGTTTGAAATTATTTCATTTCATTTTTAATAGATGTATGTTGCGGTATGCTGCATTACTTCAACATGGAGGTTTGGTCTCTCGAGCCACGAATCGAGGGCTCAGAGAAGATTCCTGGAATGCCATTCGAGAAACTCGCTTCGAGCACACCTTCATGCGGCCACCGGCCCTCTTGACCACCATTCAGACGGTGAACAATGAGAAAGGCTTGCCATCCAATTCACGGCCTTGGTTGACAGTTGCTCGGAAAATCTTGGCTGTCGTTGGACACTGATTAGCTTTGGTGGAATTGTTGAATCGTCCTTCGTCGCTCAGGTTGCTGTGCAACGGGTGAATGTGGATAGTACTCGGGCCCGAAGCCTCGGAATTTCCTCGCAGCCGTCTTCACATTGGCTTGACTTGACGGATCGTGGATCGAGGTCGCCTTGAAGATGTCTGAGACGACCCCCTACGGTAAGGCGGAGCGGGAGCGCGGGGAGGGCATAAAATTGATGGTACTTGTATGTCTGAAGGGAAAACCACCCCTAGAAAGTCTCCAAGTTTTTGAGCCTGTCCTCCGGCTGAGCTGTAACTCACGGCAGGTTGATCAGCCCGAGAGAGTGGGCTGGATCGCCATCGAGCAAGGCATTCACACTCTCTTAGGTTCCACAGGCTGGAGTCATAGAGCTTTGAAGCTGAAGATGATGTATACAACAATGGATCAACTCAACTCGGATCAACTATTCTTTCGTGTAGAATCAGTGTAGAATGTGGATGCATGTCACGAAAGGTAGCGGTTACGCTACCTGAGTTGTCTTTGCTTTAGCAATAATGTATTGGGGGTGGTGAAGTGGTCCGGTGCTTGATTTCGGTCGTTTAAGAGTTTGTTTTAAATGTCGGGGGGGGTGAAAGAGTGACTAGGGCGTACACGGTTGAGGTGCAGACCGCTAGTGTCTTTTTCTACGCAGAGTCTTATCCTCTTGAGCCTTATGGCAGTCAAGCATGGACACACTAGATAGGCCACTGGAGTGGAACCTGTACAAGTAGGCCTCTACATTTCAGCAGGCACAAAATTCATGTCCACTCCAGCCTATTGCGTATGTCGCACACTATTTTTCCACCGTAAGGCTAAAACAGTCCAGCAAGCTCTAGTAAGCTTAAAAAGGAAACTACGGTGCCCTGTATTTACCAATTCCAGTGTGTGGCACACTATAGAAAAGGTAATCTCAAGGTATACTAGATACAGTGAGGGAGCGATAGCTTACTCACCTCAAATACAAAGTCAAAGACAATGTATCTCGGCTGGAGACTGTATCGTTCACCGGCGAAGATACCAGTACCGGCGCTCAATAGCCCTTAAATTGCCAGAGCTGTCAATCTTTCAGAAAATTCTAAATTCAAAGGGAAAGCGGCTTCTTTTGCACAGAGACCTATAAAAGCAGTAAACGACACCCGCGTAACGAAAGAACTAAAATTTCAAGACCGCACAAAATGCAATGAATTAAAATGCCTTGCAAAATGCAAGGAGCGTAAATAATTCGGTCCGAGGAATAGTCTTCTCGAAAAGTGGTCTCGGCCGCTTCCATACGCAGGACTTATACCAAAAATTTGAACTGCATCAAAAGGACACTCTCACATTGATACTAAAAATCAGCCAAAAACAAAAAGGAAGGAGATACCGGCAAATGTATGTACAAAAATCTTGCACTACAATTGCCAATTCATAAAATGACTTAATCATCAACCATAAATGGTTGTCCATTAGAGGTCACTTCAAAAGAGCGGCTGTGGTAGATATCATCAGTTCTGTAAAACTGTCCATACCTACCTGCAGATAATATCCGTTTAGTAAAACTATATTTATCTGCACGCTAAAGCTTAAAACTTCAGCCTGACAACTTAAAGTCAAGCCTGGAAGCAAAGTATCAACTGTAATCAGAAGTATCTTCACTTCCTAGCCATCATTTAAGATTCAGCCTCCGCTCTGAGTTTCTGCCGCTGCAGTCGATGGAGCTGCTTGATCATAAGTTGGCGGCCTTCCTTTCCTTTTATTCTCCTTCTGTCTCTCCTTCCTCCGCAGGTTAGCCTCTCGAAGAGTCTCGCCCAAGCGATAAAGCTTCCTGTCCCCAGATGAAAGGGAAGCTGGTCTGAGTGAAATAAACATTGGGCCATGACTGTCATCGTCAGAGGGTCTTGAGCACATAACCTCCGTGTCAATCATAGCAAAGTTCTCTGAAAAATTACAGACGAACTCCTTCGTGCTCACTGTGGAATTTGTATATTCCTCTCCACTCATTGAATGACCCCATTCAACAATGGTAGACAAACACGTATCGCCAAGCTTTGATCCCTGGTACATTTCTTTTTCTTCTGTAGAGTATTCTTCCCAGAGTTTCTCAAAGTAAACTTCACACTGCTTGAGGACATGTGAAGATGAACTGTAAAATGTTCTGGGAATAGGTGCTTTGATACCAGGATCTGCTACTACACGGGCTTCTGAAAACCTGCGGATCCAATGCTGCATGGTGCTGTAATAATAGTTAGCCATTGGCTGTCTGTAGGCCAAACTATTTGCATCACCAGAAATGATGTCCACCTCATATACAAAACACTCATAAAGCATCAATGCTGTCTGTTCTCCTGTCAATAGGTGGGCATCCACAGCACGGTGTGTGTCAACATGATAATTACAGACTCTGATGGTACGCATGTTCGCTCGAGTAAGTGGAACACGCTGGTCCTTAGGACCATAGTCCTCAAATTCAAAGTCTGCATCCTTGAAATCTTGACGAGGCCTTGTTTCTCCAAAACAAATCTCATAGATAGCCCAAGTTACATCGCGCTGTTGACAGTAACCAAGGTCTTGGTCATGTCCAGCAATGACCTTGACATATCCACCTGGTGCCAATCTAGCCATCACTGCAAGATTCTCCCAATCATTGAAACAAACTGTCCAATTCTTTTGCTCAAGAAAATCCTTGGCAGGAACAAGGAGATGAGCTTCCTGGAGAATCACGACATGTGCACGTAAAAAGAAGAGCATGTTGAAGAAAAGGTTGTTTTCAAATTGCTCATATTGAAGTGACATGTCACTCTGTTTGCGTGGCTTCATTGCACGATCAAGTCCTTGGAGAAACTTTGGTGTGGTGTATTTCTGACCACGAACCATGTTGCCATAGCTCCAGGATAAAAATGTCAAGGACTCTGAGCTGGCCAATAAGTTAGTTGCATATTGTTCTTCTATTCTTCCTTTGAGGAACCTTTTGCACAGCTCTTCACAGAAGGTGACATAGTCCCAACTGGGTCCCGTGGGACCATATTCTTCCAGTTCTTCTCTAAAATGTTTCTTTGTATCCTCCAAATCTGCTCGAGCTTGTTCTGCCCTTTCAAGGGCCCTTGGATCGACCTGATACTTGTCATCCAAATAAATGATGCGGTCATCATTGATGAAAAATCTCTTCAAATCATGCTCTGAGCTGTCCTCATAACAATCAGGTGGAGGTACTGGACAGATCTTTCGAATGGATCGAACAAAGTCGTCCTCGTTGATCATTGACTGATAGTGAGGATGGGAAATCTCACCTTTTCTGAAACAAACATGGTTCAACAATCTCGCGTGAGTTTCCCTGAAGCATTGTTGATAAAAGCCAATACCTGGATCTCCTGTAAGCTCTCCAAACAACCTCAAAGGTGAAGTATGCAACTCATAGGTATTGTCAACATCCAATGTATCTGTATCACAACTACTTCAGATGGAAAAGATTCTTGGATTTCAGCCTCCAATTTCTTCTCTCCATCATCCTCTCTGACCTCTCTTATCTTCTCCACCGCCTTTTTCTTCTCCTCAAAGGTTGCATCATCCTGAACTTCTTCATGAAAATGAGGATCAGGAATTTTATTTAGGCGGCTTTTCTTAGATTTCCGCAGACTTGAAGTATCATCAAGGTTAGCATCATTCTCACCTGATGGTAAGTGCGATGCAGCTGAGTCCTCACCTATCTCTCTTGACAGAAAGTGTGATGCTGACTCATCCTTGGCTTCCTCCTGGTCCACTTCCATCTTTGTGTCCTCTGAAGGAAAAAACACCTGCATTCTCATCAAAAACTTCTTCATCCTTTACGAGTTCAACTGCAGGATCTTCTTCATGGACTTCCTCTTCCATATCTTCACCTTCCATAATCTTCATACTACCAGTATAGATCTCACCAGTGATAGTGGAGACTCTTGTGTAAGGAGGAACTTCTTCACCTGCCTCAAAAGCTTGTTCTGCGACATCCTTGGTGAGCAAGTCCTCTACAAGATTTTCTCCCATGGTTCTTGGAAGAGATTCTGAGGTCTCAAAGTAATCTGTCCTCTCTGAACTGAAAAACTCCGTTGCCTTCTCATTGTCCTTTTTATCCTTAAAAAGATGAGTAATCTCCACTGCTTCTCTCTGTAACACCTGATCACCTTCTCTATACTTGTTGACAATGGAGCGCCATACTGGCACATCGTCATCATCAAAATCAAGCTCCATATCATCTGCCATCAAGTTTGAGATGTTTTGAGCTGCCTGTTCTTCTTCTTCCTCACGTTCTCTGGCAAGCTCCTCATCCTTCTGGATCTTGAAGATACCCTTCAGGATGTTTTGTAGTACCTTTAAGTTCAGCTTCGATGATGGCTCAAACGTACCTGAACTTACAGGCTCAACTACAACACGAGAGCAAGAAATCGCCTCCAAAAACTTGGAATTGTATTGGCGTTCAAACTCTTCCTTCTTGATCATCTCATACAAGGGATCAGAAACTGCAACACGCGCCTGAACATATTCACGAAGTTGATAGCATGCATGTTGCACAAACCTGCTGTTGGAGTTGTGAAGAAAACTCTCTAAATGGTTCCTGTCACGGTCAATCAAATACCACACAACTCTTGCAGAAAAACGGAATTTCTTGAAGTTCATAGCAAAATGTGTATGATACTTCTCTGGATCCTCTTCTGCAGATAAGGCGGCCTCTGAAGTCTTGTAAACAGGGAGATTTGTAAGTGGATCCAAAATCATAAACTCTTCCCACAAGATCGAATGCTGAAGAACCCACCTGGGAAGCACCTTGATGAAAAAGTCACAAACAAGTTCAGACAAAAGGTGCATGACACGGCCAATCTCTTCCTCCTGCTTGAAACGATAGTGCAATTTGGCAAATAAGGGACTGTTGAATGCTTCCTCCACTGAGTTGCCAAAATTATCCCACTGAGGTTCTGGAATACCAAAGTTCCAACCCAGCAATTTGGGATCTCTGCACATATCCAAGAAACTTGCAAGTTCTGCAGAATAAAGGCCATGGTCTGTCAGAATTTCAGCCCAGCGGCGTCCATTCTCCCAAGCACGGATGAAGAAAAACTGTTGGTATCCAGTTTGTGCCAACTCCATCCACTGAAAAACTCCAGGTTCAAAACTGGGTGCATACGTCTTGGGGTCTTCCTCTGTTCCATAAATACTTGGACGTAGCAACTTGTACCTTCTACAAAAATATTCTCTCTGGTGTCTTATCAACCTGTCCCAATCCCGCACCAGAATCACGTCTTCTCCAGTGCTCTGAAGTACACGTGTTCCTCGGCGATCATGGAGTGATACCATGCCAATGTCATATACCATCCATGGGTTGAGAATCAGGTTGTTGACATTCTGAATGA